TTTAAACCTATTTATAGCCTCTGAAATGACATAATTTTAAACCCAATTAACGTCCACAAAACGGCTATAAACAATCACTTATTTAAAACCTAAAATCTAAAAAAACTACATCTGTAGTCGACTACAAGTCATAGTAGTCAACTACACTGAGTCTAAACAGACTCTGTGAAGTCAGAAAAATGCTTAGTAGTCGACTACACTGTAAACAAAATATGAGAAGCCAACCACTCCTTTCACGGAATGTACTACATCTCAAAGGAACAATGCAAACTTGGATTTTAAAGCAATGAATGTCTTATTTTGTGCTCTTGACAAGAATGAGTTCAATAGGGTGTCAACGGCCACATCTGCATACGATATTTGGCATACACTTGAGGTAACTCATGAAGGTACAAATAAAGTTAAAGAATCTAAAATATCTGTTCTTGTGCACAGGTTTGAGTTATTCAAAATGAAAGAACAAAAAGAGGAATCCACTCACATGTGCTTCATGGCACAAGAAGATGAGGTATGCAATAATGAAGAATTATTAGATGCTTTCAATGAATTATATGAAACATTTTTGAGATTAAAGGCTTCACATAATTTTCTTAAAGGTGAAAATAAAAGATTACTTGAAGAAATTTCTGATTTTAATTCTTCTACTATTTCTAATTCTCAAGTAATTGAATTGAAAGAGGAAAATAAATCCTTGCTTAAAGAAAATCATATTTTGACTAATGAGAATGTTTATCTAAAATCAGAATGCAATGATTTAAAAATTCGCATTAATGTTTTAGATAAAGATATTTCTTCTATTAAATTAAAATATGATGATATATGTTTGAATGTTAGTAAATTCAATAAAAGTAAAGAGAATTTGAATAATTTGCTCTCATTTCAAAAATCTTCAAACAATCATTTTGGCATTGGATTTGTTCCTAAGTATTTTATAAAGAATGATTATGTTTTGAAGAATAATAATAAGAATATTCATGCTAAACAAAAGAAGTATATATGGATTCCTAAGAATTTGAATATTCATGATAGGAATGATTATATTTCATCTTATATGTATGAAGTTTGCAATTCAAAGAATTACACTTATGTTAACAAATGGAAACCAAATTCCAAGTGGATTTGGATTCCTAAGGGCTAATCCTAATGATATAATATAAAAGGGTACCAAAGTGCTTAATATTTTTATTAAGGTACCCAGGAAAAGAAAATTTTAACTAGAATTATGTTTATTTCTTTTTGTTAATGACAAAGGGGGAGTTATATAGAAAATTTTAAATTTTTTACTAATGCTTTGATGCAGGGGGAGTAAAAGATTTTATTTAATGATTTCATGCAGGGGGATTAAAATTTTTATATCTTAATAACATATATTTGTCATCATCAAAAAGGGGGAGAATGTTAGGAATCTTGACCCCAAGATTAGTTTATTTTGATGATAACAAATATTATATATTGTGTGTATTATGTGTTAACATTTGTTTTGCAGTATCAGAGCTATATCAACAATTATTTTTAAAGAGATACTCAAGACATAGATGAGTTCAAGGCAAAATGAAGCAAAGAATAAAATATACTTTATTGTCAAAATGTAATTTTATATTTTCCTTGCTTAGAAATTTGTACAAGCCTTGATCACTCATACACATGCACACACATAGTGTTAGAACACACTAACACATGCTTAGTGTGTTGGTTAACAATAGAAATCCCCTATGTTAGCCATTAGAGTTTATAGATATTAAGTGAGTCTTAAAACATTTTATTTACACCCCATAGAAATTAGAATCTGGAAAAACTCAAAAGAACAAAGTTGTAGGTCTCTTCAACATCTTTCCAACAAATCTTAAATCACCTCATTCCGATATCGGATGAGAAAGTTATAGTCAAAATACTAAACAGAAAAATTCCAGAATCTGAGTTTACAGTGTAGTCGACTACTATGCCTTGTAGTCGACTACTGAGCAATTTTCTGACTTCACAGAGTCTGTTTAGACTCAGTGTAGTCGACTACTATGACTTGTAGTCGACTATAGATGCAGTTTTTTCAGATTTCAGGTTTAAAATAAGTGACTGTTTATAGCCGTTTTGTGGACGTTAATTGGTTTTAAAATTATGTCATTTCAGAGGCTATAAATAGGTTTAAACATCAGAAAACAACAACCAAGTTTTACACTTGCAAGATCAAACATTTTGTGCATATTCACTCTCTAATTTTCCAGATTTTCATGCTAAGTGTTTAGAAAAAGAGAGTTTCTGATATTGCATTGGTTTCAATCATTCTTAGAGATTGTATAGGCAATATTCAGAGAGTTAAAAGAATCCTAAGTCACTGCAGTACTTCACTACACATTCAAGGCTTATAGGATCAATTGTGTTCTTGCTTCAAAAAGGATTTCTCTCGGGTTTGAGAGGGTTGATCTCTTGGTTTAGAGATTGGGTGGCAATTGGCATGGTCTTGTCAATTGGTGTTGCAATTTGCATGGTCTTGCAAATTGGTCAGGTTTGCTTTTGATTTTGTAAGGTTTCAAAATCATAGTGGAAATCTCAAGCGGGATTTGCTTGGGGACTGGATGTACACCGGGTTGGTGGAACCAGTATAAAACTTTGTGTTTGTGATTGTGAATTTCTGAGATTGCCATTTTTCTTTGCAATTTATAATCTACTTTGCATATATTTTAAAAGAACACTATTCACCCCTCTTCTAGTGTTCTAGTGTATCTATTTCAGATCCTACAAAAACTAGGTTAGTTCTGACCCAATTTTTCTTAGACCAAAAAGAAGTCATAAAACCAGTTTAGTGGTAGATTAGGAGGGTGTTTGTCCACAATTAAATTAGGTTAGAGTAGAACTGGACCAGAGTTGAACCTGATACAGTTTTTGGGTAGTTGTCAAACACACCCTAAGATTGGTTTGGTCTTTTATATGCAACTACATTTATTGGTGAGCAAATTCAATGGTACTCACTATGTTCAATCGGTACTTGACTAGTGCACACAGGGGCGGAGTCAGGCATAAGGATGAGGGGTCCCATTGCCCCTTCATTGCAAAGTCTCGGTCTTGTGGGAATTGATTATCTATCTTAGAACAAGCTTCAATATGAGCCCATTATAAGGTATGCAATAATGAAGAATTATTAGATGCTTTCAATGAATTATATGAAACATTTTTGAGATTAAAGGCTTCACATAATTTTCTTAAAGGTGAAAATAAAAGATTACTTGAAGAAATTTCTGATTTTAATTCTTCTACTATTTCTAATTCTCAAGTAATTGAATTGAAAGAGGAAAATAAATCCTTGCTTAAAGAAAATCATATTTTGACTAATGAGAATGTTTATCTAAAATCAGAATGCAATGATTTAAAAATCCGCATTAATGTTTTAGATAAAGATATTTCTTCTATTAAATTAAAATATGATGATATATGTTTGAATGTTAGTAAATTCAATAAAAGTAAAGAGAATTTGAATAATTTGCTCTCATTTCAAAAATCTTCAAACAATCATTTTGGCATTGGATTTGTTCCTAAGTATTTTATAAAGAATGATTATGTTTTGAAGAATAATAATAAGAATATTCATGCTAAACAAAATAAGTATATATGGATTCCTAAGAATTTGAATATTCATGATAGGAATTATTATATTTCATCTTATATTTATGAAGTTTGCAATTCAAAGAATTACACTTATGTTAACAAATGGAAACCAAATTCCAAGTGGATTTGGATTCCTAAGGGCTAATCCTAATGATATAATATAAAAGGGTACCAAAGTGCTTGATATTTTTATTAAGGTACCCAAGAAAAGAAATTTTTAATTAGAATTATGTTTATTTCTTTTTGCTAATGACAAAGGGGGAGTTATATAGAAAATTTTAATTTTAAATTTTTTACTAATGCTTTGATGCAGGGGGAGTAAAAGATTTTATTTAATGATTTCATGCAGGGGGATTAAAATTTTTATATCTTAATAACATATATTTGTCATCATCAAAAAGGGGGAGAATGTTAGGAATCTTGACCCCAAGATTAGTTTGTTTTGATGATAACAAATATTATATGTTGTGTGTATTATGTGCTAACATTTGTTTTGCAGTATCAGAGCTATATCAACAATTATATTCAAAGAGATACTCAAGACATAGATGAGTTCAAGGCAAAATGAAGCAAAGAAGAAAATATACTTTATTGTCAAAATGTAATTTTATATTTTCTTTGCTTAGAAATTTGTACAAGCCTTGATCACTCACACACATGCACACACATAGTGTTAGAACACACTAACACATGCTTAGTGTGTTGGTTAACAATAGAAATCCCCTATGTTAGCCATTAGAGTTTATAAATATTGGGTGAGTCTTAAAACATTTCATTTACACCCCTTAGAAATTAGAATCTGGAAAAACTCAAAAGACCAAACTTGTAGGTCTCTTCAAGACCTTTCCAACAAATCTTAAATCACCTCATTCCGATATCGGATGAGAAAGTTATAGTCAAAATACTAAACAGAAAAATTCCAGAATCTGAGTTTACAGTGTAGTCGACTATTATGCCTTATAGTCGACTACTGAGCAATTTTCTGACTTCACAGAGTCTGTTTAGACTCAGTGTAGTCGACTACTATGACTTGTAGTCAACTATAGATGCAGTTTTTTCAGATTTCAGGTTTAAAATAAGTGACTGTTTATAGCCGTTTTGTGGACGTTAATTGGGTTTAAAATTATGTCATTTCAGAGGCTATAAATAGGTTTAAACATCAGAAAATAACAACTAAGTTTTACACTTGCAAGATCAAACATTTTGTGCATATTCACTCTCTAATTTTCCAGATTTTCATGCTAAGTGTTTAGAAAAAGAGAGTTTCTGATATTGCATTGGTTTCAATCATTTATAGAGATTGTATAGGCAATATTCAGAGAGTTAAAAGAATTCTAAGCCACTGCAGCACTTCACTACACATTCAAGGCTTATAGGATCAATTGTGTTCTTGCTTCAAAAAGGATTTCTCTCGGTTTTGAGAGGGTTGATCTCTTGGTTTAGAGATTGGGTGGCAATTGGCATGGTCTTGTCAATTGGTATTGCAATTTGCATAGTCTTGCAAATTGGTCAGGTTTGCTGTTGATTTTGTAACAAGCGGGATTTGCTTGGGGACTGGATGTACACCGGGGAGGTGGAACCAGTATACATGCTTGTGTTTGTGATGTTTATTTTCTGAGATTGCCATTCTTTCTTTACAATTTATAATCTACTTTGCATATATTTTAAAAGAACACTATTCACTCCTCTTCTAGTGTTCTAATGTATCTATTTCAGATCCTACAATCTGCAGAAGCGGGATTGTAGGCTAGGGTTCATTTCAGTCCCGAATTCATTAACTCAAGAGTCAATTGTGGATTTATGAGAGATTTGGGATTCCTTCCTAGACAACTACTTTTTGGGGGTGAGTTCTTATCAGAACACTATGATTAAACCCTAAGCAATGAAAACCAATGTCAAATCTGAAGCAAAACCATCTAAAATCAGTAAAATATTAATTTAAAGCAGTGCTCCATCCACTTCAACTACAAATGATGAAACCCACATCAAATTTAAGAAGTGCCAACAAAATCACCTGCACACTGGCTCAGCAATGGCAATGAGGAAGTCATAAGCCTGTTTATACAAAGGAGAAAACGTCTCAAGAAATATCCTGCCGTCGCCGCACGCCCAAAGGGGCCTGTTTACGTGATCAGGCTTCCACTCAAGCTTCGTGAAGTCATTCTTCTTCGTCTCTCCTTCATCCACCAAAACCCCAAATTTTCCAATTCAGCCCCCCCAAAAAAAATCCAAAATTTCACAAGAAAATGGACAGCAGTTTTGAAAAAAAAACAAAAGACAAATACCTCGTCGCCTATCATCATCCGAATCTTCTCCGAAATAGAGCTCTTCTTCTTCCACAACCTGAGCGGCCTAAAAGGAGGGGGGGGGGGGGGGGGGGGATTTAAAGGAAGAATCAATTTTTTTTACGATTTTTATGAATTTCAAACTAATTACTCACTTTTGCCGAGGACTTGTGTTTTTTGGACGGCCGACCTCTTTCACCTGAAATTAAGAACGAAAGTAAAAAATTTAAGACACAGAAACAGAAACTGATGAAATTGAGAATACGGAGAAAATTACCACGGTCTGCCATTGATCGATTGAGAACAAATACTGAAGGATCGAAGAGAGAACCGTCGCTGAAAGCGCAAACGAAAACGAAAGGGGGCGAAATGAGGGACTCGCTTCTGAAATTTATAGACTTCAGTTTTTACAGAAGAGTCCCTGAAAAGGATAGTATTTGCGGAACAACCGACCGAGGAACTAGTTTGGCGACTTGCCGACGGAGGCCAGTCGAATTGAAACGAACAACACGATATTCGATTCGGAATTAAGTTTTTACTGTTCATATTCTAATATCAAAAACCAATCTCTATTTGAATTCCATTCTTTGGAATTCTAGGTATTGGGGGTCTATTCTATTTTTGGTTTAACGCAAACGAGATCGTACCAGATTGTATCTTCCCTTTGACGCCTCAGACTTCCAAGTAGGGGTGCACAAAAGCTATCTGTATTCGTCGATATATTTGTATCCGTGTACCTTAGGATACAAATATGATTAGTAAAAATTATAACCGATAGGATGCGGTTACGAATATGATTCTATAGTGAAATATCTAGATCCGTATCCAAAATATCCGAATATATGATGATCATACAATTACAATTGTTGTAATACTATGAATCTAGATAGTCGATGAGGTATTTGTTTTTTGTTTTTTATTTTTAGTCAAAATTCCAAAATTATAGATTGAGTGTGCAACCATAGATTTTACTTGGAATTTTTATTATCAACTGAAATTTGCATTGTAGTTGTAAAACAATTGATGAATTCTGAACTTGGAATAGGTTTTGTTTATATCGCATTGTTATTGGAATTTTGGATCACTACTAACTCCTTAATCAAAAGAAGCAATGGAAGATTTGGAACACTACTCTCTCTTTATAGAATCAAAAAGAATCATGAACCTTTTTTGTGAATCATGAATTTTATTTTATTTTTATTTTTATTTATTTATTTATTTATTTTTGTTATTAGTGGAAATATCAAATATCAAAGAGAGAAGATCGAATGTTAAAATTTTGTTTTCGCGTATCTTAATTTTTTAGTACGAGGAGATTCATAGTGTACATATCGTCATGGACAGTGAAAAGGCTAGCTTTAGTTGTTGCTGTATAGCTCATTTGGATGGAAATGAATGCTTGAATTCGTAATTTTGTTAAGAAGAATCATGAGCATGTTGTAAAGAAATAAATTAAGGTGTTGATCCTTGTATTATTGTAAAATGCCTTTCCAATTGAAATTTTGAGGATGGAGTCTTTGTCTTTGAAAAACTCGAAGAGGCTTTTTTTTTTGTATTAATGCGGATACTGTGATGTGGTAGTTTTGAGTGATTTTGATACTTTTGTCAAGGGTTATGCGCTCAGTTCTTGTTTATATGACACTGTCACTAGACTGACGTGTCAAGAGAAAAACTATTAGCTCAGGTATGCCTGGGCATAAGCTATGCAATTTTGAATTGTTTTAATGAAAATGTTTGTTCGTTGACCATCTCTCAACACTTCGCTTGCGCTTGAACCAACTTGGCTTTTGACTTGAGAGTTTGCAATATAAACCTCATTGAGCTTTACATCCTTCTCAACTAACTGATTTGGTGCTTAAATTTTGCAGCATAATTACTATGGACAGTCAATTCCTTTTGGAGGTGACAAAGTTTTGGCTTTTAAGAATGCAATTACTCTTGCATATCCAAGCACAACACAGGCTCTCTACAAAAGTGGATAATAATAACACTGAATAAACACAGTGAAGACAAAGAGAACAGCACACAAGGATTTAACGTGGTTCGATTAGTATGACCTACGTCCACGAGCGAGAACAGTATAGAACTTCACTAATCACAAAAGAGAATATTACAAAAGAGATCATTCTCTAAACCCCACCAAAGAATCACACAAAGAAAGAAACTAACTCCCTCTCTCTCTGTCTCTCTCTCTTCTCTCTAACTTCGATCGCTCTCTGTCTGATGCATTCACCCTTCTCCACTCCTCCATTTATAACCTTCCAATATTAATATAAAATTGCTAATGGTTGGTGTGATAGGGAGTTAGGTTAGGGAATAGTTGGGCATGAATGTAGGGAGGTAGGTGGGTTTTATCTTCATATGCTAAGTCAAATAACAACAATCTCCCCATACATCTTTGATAACATTGTTTCAAATGATTTCAGGGTCTCTCTTTCCATAACCAATATTTAAAGTTGTTTACGAAGAACTCTATATCACCGAAATTTCTTCTTTTTTCCTACTAGAGTGAGAGTGAAAATTGCTATAAGGTGCTAAAGAACTAATGGGATGCATTATATAAGACAGCCAGCCAAAAGGATGGAGTTAAGAAACTCACAAAATCTTCTAAGATACGCAAGTGAGAAGCCCATCTCATCTTCTATCATTGACAACAATTGATTTAATGAATTTATCACTAATAGAGGAGTTGTTTCAGATGCAAATTTAGCAATCTCCATCAAGAATTGGATGCAGTACGCACTAATTAATCTGTGTCGCGATGACAAATTATCCAACAGCTTCAAATTTCCTCAACTCATTGCCTGCTCATCCTGTGGAAAAGGTCATCAGCCAAATGACTGCTAGCATTTTTCGTACTTAACCACAAGTGAAAATATAGACCTGAAAACTGTTGCAGATGTGTGAGGCAATAGACAACCCTGCAACAAGGGCCGATATATTTGCTAGATTATATTGTGCGACGAATGTATATTATGACCACAATGGAACTGCAAAATGTTTCGATCCTAATTCTTATGGTACTAATGCACTTGGCACTGATAAAAATAAATCAATAGTAGTAAACATTCTGGAAGTTCACAGTCATGTGTTAGCTGTAATCTATATCAAATTGACTAGATAAAAATAAATCTTACTTTTTCAGAGGAAGCCAACAAACTCCGCGAAAACAATGTAATCAGATTGAAATCATGCATAGACAGACTATGTTATGGTCTAGTTAGTCCCATATTAACTAAATGGGTAATCTATTGTGGTTTTATATGAGATCTAGATTCCCTCTCTCTAATTTCTAGCTTTTAGCTTTTAGGGATGAGCGTCTCCTACAGATGGCATCAGAGTCAAACCTTCTCACTCGCAAACAAGAGGCATGAGTGGTGACCTCAGCATTGGAGTGTTCACGGGCAAAAGACTGAGATTGCAACGTTCAACTAGGACTAGACTAGTGCAGAGCCAGTCACGCGTGACCTGCAGAAGCGGGATTGTAGGCTAGGGTTCATTTCAGTCCCAAATTCATTAACTCGAGAGTCAATTGTGGATTTATGAGAGATTTGGGATTCCTCCCTAGACAACTACTTTTTGGGGGTGAGTTCTTATCAGAACACTATGATTAAACCCTAAGCAATGAAAACCAATGTCAAATCTGAAGCAAAACCATCTAAAATCAGTAAAATATTAATTTAAAGCAGTGCTCCATCCACTTCAACTACAAATGATGAAACCCACATCAAATTTAAGAAGTGCCAACAAAATCACCTGCACACTGGCTCAACAATGGCAATGAGGAAGTCATAAGCCTGTTTATACAAAGGAGAAAACGTCTCAAGAAATATCCTGCCGTCGCCGCACGCCCAAAGGGGCCTGTTTACGTGATCAGGCTTCAACTCAAGCTTCGTGAAGTCATTCTTCTTCGTCTCTCCTTCATCCACCAAAACCCCAAATTTTCCAATTCAGCCCCCCCAAAAAATCCAAAATTTCACAAGAAAATGGACAGCAATTTTGAAAAAAAAAACAAAAGACAAATACCTCGTCGCCTATCATCATCCGAATCTTCTCCGAAATAGAGCTCTTCTTCTTCCACAACCTGAGCGGCCTAAAAGGAGGGGGGGGGGGGGGGGGGGGATTTAAAGGAAGAATCAATTTTTTTTTCGATTTTTATGAATTTCAAACTAATTACTCACTTTTGCCGAGGACTTGTGTTTCACCTGAAATTAATAACGAAAGCAAAAAATTTAAGACACAGAAACAGAGACTGATGAAATTGAGAATACGGAGAAAATTACCACGGTCTGCCATTGATCGATTGAGAACAAATACTGAAGGATCGAAGAGAGAACCGTCGCTGAAAGCGCAAACGAAAACGAAAGGGGGCGAAATGAGGGACTCGCTTCTGAAATTTATAGACTTCAGTTTTTACAGAAGAATCCCTGAAAAGGATAGTATTTGCGGAACAACCGACCGAGGAACTAGTTTGGCGACTTGCCGGCGGAGGCCAGCCGAATTGAAACGAACAACACGATATTCGATTTGGAATTAAGTTTTTACTGTTCGTATTCTAATATCAAAAACCAATCTCTATTTGAATTCCATTCTTTGGAATTCTAGGTATTGGGGATCTATTCTATTTTTGGTTTAACGCAAACGAGATCGTACCAGATTGTATCTTCCCTTTGACGCCTCAGACTTCCATGTAGGGGTGCACAAAAGCTATCTGTATTCGTCGATATATTTGTATCCGTGTACCTTAGGATACAAATATGATTAGTAAAAATTATAACCGATAGGATGTGGTTACGAATATGATTCTATAGTGAAATATCTAGATCCGTATCCAAAATATCCGAATATATGATGATCATACAATTACAATTGTTGTAATACTATGAATCTAGATAGGCGACGAGGTATTTGTTTTTTGTTTTTTATTTTTAGTCAAAATTCCAAAATTATAGATTGAGTGTGCAACCATAGATTGTACTTGGAATTTTTATTATCAACTGAAATTTGCATTGTAGTTGTAAAACAATTGATGAATTCTGAACTTGGAATATGTTTTATTTATATCGCATTGTTATTGGAATTTTGGATCACTACTAACTCCTTAATCAAAAGAAGCAATGGAAGATTTGGAACACTACTCTCTCTTTATAGAATCAAAAAGAATCATGAACCTTTTTTGTGAATCATGAATTTTATTTTATTTTTATTTTTATTTTTATTTATTTATTTATTTTTGTTATTAGTGGAAATATCAAATATCAAAGAGAGAAGATTGAATGTTAAAATTTTGTTTTCGCGTATCTTAATTTTTTAGTACGAGGAGATTCATAGTGTACATATCGTCATGGACAGTGAAAAGGCTAGCTTTAGTTGTTGCTGTATAGCTCATTTGGATGGAAATGAATGCTTGAATTCGTAATTTTGTTAAGAAGAATCATGAGCATGTTGTAAAGAAATAAATTAAGGTGTTGATCCTTGTATTATTG